CCGTATAATGTTTCGTTAAAAATAAATTTTATGGTAAAAAAGCATTGGCACTCCTGGTAATTTAATACAGCATTTTTTACAGAGAATTTGGTAACTTTTAAGACGCTGAAAGTCTTACGTGTGTCGCAAAATTACCTAAATTGAAAGTTTAAAATTTTAATTTAAATATCGTATTTTGACACTGCTTATGAAACCTTTGAACTGCAACATAAAGACTACAATGGCATTATAGGCATAGCATATTTCATAGATTTTTTTAAAATTTATTCTTTAATTGGTTTGGCATCATTGGCTTAACTTTCAGAAAACCCAATTTTGATAAATAGCCAGTAATTCGGGGAGAATATTATTCATCACTATTTGCTTGACTTTTGATCTAAAAGGTATTTGGAGTACATCACTCTCGTAATTGTTCCTTATAAAAATTATATATAAATCTCGTATCAATATGCAAAAGTTTAAGCAAAAATTCCTTAAAATTATATAAAAATTCCGTAATTACAAACAAATGCTTGTCTGTGTTCATAGCGATGCACACAGATCTAAAACAATTTTCTATTCTGTTCTAAAAATACTGTCTTTTCGAACCCCTAGATGCATGTTGTTTTTCATTATGGATGTAATTGGGCAAAGAATTGACATTTTACTTCTCTCACCGTTCATGTTACATTAGCTACGAGACCTAAGGAATAATGGATTATCTCTTATCTGATATTACGAAAGCAGTTCTGGGGGCTCATGAGTACGGCGAGCAGAGGGTGGCTTTCTTTATTCTTTGTTTATTTTACTAGTGTAGATCTCATAATAAGCAATTTTACTACAGTCATGCATTTTTTTCTTTTCATTCCAGAATTTCAATGAGTCTTAACAGTTCGACCTCCTATTGTTTTAAAATTCTGTTTAATATAACATTTTACATTTCTCCAATTTTCCTGTAATCCACACTTCGATCTTTCTTAATTAAATTATTTATTTATTTTCAAGCAAGAGGGAAGAACAAAACAATTTTTTCTTTTTGCAATTTACTTACAATCAGCCTTTTAGAAAACAGCAATTTATTCTCAGCTTGATTTTTCCCTTAACAAATAAATTAATTTACCTTATAATAAATATGGTAAACAGTTTATTTGATGTAGTTTTGCATAATTCTTTATCTCAATACATTTCCTAATGTCTATTGTGATCTAATTGAATTGTTTGTTTCTTACATTTTATTTACAATATCCTTATACATAATCTCATTGTTGTTTAGGATATATTTTCTTTAGTTTTCCATCTCTGAGTTTTCTATTTAACTATTTGTACTTTCAATCTTCAAAAGTCACATAAGATAAAACTAAAGAATGTTATCTAAATTGTATTTTCCACTTGTTTCCTTATATTTATATTCCCCGTATTTATATTTAGATTGTTATTATTTATTTTTGAGCTTCTTAAAATATTTCATTAAACTTTCTGGGTATTTTAAAATTGCTTAAATACTTTTTTCTATCTTTCATAATCTTCCTAAACAATATTTGTTTTATAATACCAAGATAAATATTTGTGCATCAAAATTAATATTGTATTTCTAGGATTATATTATGCTCTCAATTTGTACTGTATTTTTGGCATTAATGTTTATAAATGAAATCTAAATAATAAAGTAATTCTTTTTAAATCTTTCAAGGTCTCTTATTTAGGTAGGTATATTCGTAAATCATAGTAATAAGTAATAGTAATAAGCATAACAAATTTAAACTTATTTCTATTCAGTATCGCCCCAGCTCATAAAAATCCAAGCCCTACTCAGCCAATTACAGTTTCCTTGACCTTGGCCTTAGGAGTGCAGGAGGAGATGTTCCGTTTGGATGATCAACCGAACCCCTAGTGTACAGTTCCTAAGCATGCTCGTTCTTCATTTTATCGACCCACTGAAGGTATTAAACGCTGAGTAAACCTTGCCCGGTTCGAGAACCGAACTCCGGATCTGTAGAACGCTAATCACAACCGCTCAGCCACCGGACTTCAGAACAAATTTTAAATCATTATAAATTTAACACACGAAATTTCATTTATTATTATTTTTTAATTGAGTATTTTAATATGTTAATATTTTAAATATTCTTGTTTGTTTGTTTGTTTTATACTCCAATGAAAAGAAATATTTTAAAAACAAACTCTTCTAAGTTTTAACAATTAAGTTATGTGTTAGTTTATGCCTTTGTAAGTTATGTATGTTTTAGAAGATTTTAACAGTTTATGAAAAGAAAGTACTATTATCAAATTTTAGGCATAGAATTTAGAATTCATTGGATATTTATTGTCAATTTTAAAAATAACTAATAATAATATTTAGTAATGTTTGGTGATATTCACAAAAGTTAAAATTATATTGAACAGATTTTTTTTTTCATCGTAAAATTTGAAAAATATTTGTTTGCAAAACAAATGGCCACATTTTTTTACATTTAGTGTCATTAAAATAATTGAAATTGATTGAGTATTTTTAAATGATTGAAAATATCACTTTGCGAGTTGAAACTACGTCTATAATTAGCTTGATAAAATTGGTGAAAAAGTCATAAAAATTGTACTTATATTGATTAATTACTTCTCTAAAAACAGAAAAAAAAGTGATTTTGTTGCTATGTTGGATTAAGAAAGATTCAAACAAATGGAACAGAGAGAAATTTTGCATCCATACTCGAAGAGGGATTCGAACCCAGGACATTCCTGGTAGGAGGCCAACTTCTAGACCACCACCTAGACCTGCCGGGCATTATGCAGTTTATTTTCGATCATCTAGTATTCATCCTTGTTTCATCATTCTAGTTCACTATCTCCTAAAATGCACTTTGTTGAGGGTTTCGAATTGAGGAAATATTTTCGTCATACATTTGAGGGTTCCCATTTCGTCACAAATCATGTGATTTCGTGATGAAATACTTCTCAAAATTAACGAAAAATAGCTCAAGAATTGCTGAATCGTCAAAAGTGCCAGTTTTGTATTTAAAGTCTTCATACAACATTAAAAGTATATAGAACTGGAATAATTTCATATCAGTTAGTTACGTAACTTATAATGTAAACATAACTCATTTTTGAGTTTCTAAAGCACTAAACTATGTATACGCCACAGTTTTTTTTTTTTTTGGTTAAAAACATTTCTTAGTTTGGAAAAGAATTTAAATTGATAATAAGCATTACATATGCCTATTATTAATATACCAGTTTTTCCATCGAAACTACCATAATCAAGATTTACCGCTGCTTTAATATTTTACAATTAATTTTTAAATGAGTATTTGAGTAAGAAATTTTGGTGAATTAAATTCAGATAAAAAAATATTGCTGAATTTCAATTTTTTTTACATCGCTTCCGTCAACTAGTTATTTATCCAATTAGCGAATACATTTACTTCCCGTTCTGAACTAATTGGGCACATCTTACCTTTTGTTAATAGAAATCTGATAAAGAAAAATCGTGATTTACATCTTTAAGAAATATATTACGTTTCGTAGTTGTTAATTATATCATAAGGGAAAGAAAAGTGTTAATCATTGAATTGAATCAAATATCTTTGAATTGTAACATGAAATTCTTACACACTTTAAATCGATTCTGTAAGAAAATTAATAGCATGAAAGAGTGCAGTCTAGTTACAATTAATGAATAACAGAAGAGGAGATGTTTCATTTTAATTATGCAATGAACTTAAGTCCAATTGGGGTAGATGATAAAAAGAAAATTCAGTTATACGTTAGAATTGAGTTGAAAAATTACTGACAAATATACTTCTCTGATAAATTCTTATCTAACTTAACTTTCATTCTCTCTAAATTTTATTTAATTTAACTACTGAGATGTGTACCATTACAAATTTGCATCACATCATTATGAAATCAACATGAAATATAAAACATTATTAAACTATTTTTAACTAATTAACATTGAATTGTATAGTCTATATACTGCGCATAAGCTGCAAGTATATAGAACTCATAAAATAAGTAAAAAATATTTTAACTTATTTTGTGAGTATACTTATGCTTCTTATCTATCTTATACTTTTGTTTTCATGTTTTTTAATCTGGCAGGCTTGTTAGGAAGATATTTTAAATCACTCTTGAAATATTTCGGAAGTTCATTTGAATTCACTACTCGCTTTATAGTTTACGTTTTGTGTTTCGCTCTATATTTTTCTTACATTTTATTATCTGCTGTTTGCTTAGTATAATTTAATTCGTATATTTTTTACTTAATGTATTCTATTTTTGTTTCAATTTTTTTAGTGCTCCCCACACTATTGAATCGATATATTTTCTTTGACTATACTAATGCAATATTAGAAAGGATATGTAAGTTAAAATATAGAGAAAACATGGAAAATAATAAATGAAAAAAGAAATAGAAAAATTATTAGAATGAAATAATTCTAAAAATGATTGATGTTGACTGCATTTTTTAAATACATTTTATTAATAATTAACTATTCTTTAATTTTACCAAGAATACCTATTCGAACTATCTTCTCTTTTGATATCGAAAAACAAGATAAATAAACTAATTTTAATTGTAATAAAAAATTTAAAATAACTGGGAAAATAAACGTCCGCTTAAATGGTTTAGGAAAAGGTTTATTAGTTTCAATTTTCAGTTGCCTCGGGACATTGAAAAATCACTCTTAGCTTAATAAAAGTACCTCATCTCTTCTAGCACAGGGACAATGCCTAATTTCTCTTACAAGATAAATCTCCCATTTTAGAAGGAATAATTGCTTAGCTGTTTATTTAAATATCGTTTTTAGAAGGACAAAAAACACCAATGTACGCCTTTGTGCAAATTACAGGAGTCGTATTGAAAGTACTGCACTCTTTCCTCTCGTGCATCCTAACACGTAATCCGTCTGATCGCGCTACCTCTCTTAGCTTTACCTTATAAGTAAATTAACTAATTTTTTGTATTTTGAATAATTCATATAGAACTAAAACTAATTAAATTTTTTTTTTCTTTTCAGGGCAGTGCATCAACAGTTGACGTGGCTCTGCTCGCAGAAGCTCACGGCCTAGTTACGGACATGCTTGCTGATCCTCATCTCCCTGCCCACGTGGTAGGAGGGCTTCGATCCCTGGCTTCCTTACTATCTCCACCTTCTCAAGTATCCATGAACCACCGAATCCAACGTCCAGGAGGAGCCAGTATCTCTCTTGCTGATTTTAATTCTGGTTCAGACAATGAAGAAATTCCCTACACCGGCGAGAAACCATCCGCTCTCTCGAAGGTAGGATTTCTAACGTTTTGAATTTCCATTTATGTCAGTTCCAATATCAAATTTATTTTGTTAATTAGCGAGATATAAGTTTATATGCCAACACAAGCTCGCAACTTTGAGTCCTTTTTTTCGATTACTCTCTCATAAATTACTTTAAAAAATATTGCATCTTGTTTTTTTCAATTTAAACTGGTGAAGTAAAAACACCTGTACTAATTAGCCTATTCAGGGCTCCACAGTGTCACTCACCGACCTGCGGCTCTCTATTGATTTTTCTATTACAGTGGATTGAAAACAGAATACGTCGCTGAAAGTTGTCAATAAGCTTTAAAGAAATTTTTTTAATCATATTACGATGAAAANATATATATATAAAGTATACAAGAGAGAGAGTAGAGATATGTGTTGGAGAGTAGAAACTCCTAATACGTTCAAGGAATTGAGGAAATGTAGTGGTGTCGCAAAACATCGAAATCCCTTCAGCCAGTCTTGAAATTGTCAGTTTCACATTATTTAGCTAAAGTATATACCCAATTTGTGGGAGCTAAATAGATCCATGAGCAATAATAACATAAATATTAATAAACAGCAAATGTGAGATATCAATTATAAAAAATATTATTAATTGATCGAGTTACAATTAATATTGAATAGTTATTTACTCCCAACAGAAGGATAGGGTATACTTTTGCTACGTAGTTTAATGCACAAAACAACGCGAGTAAAGCATAAATAAAGTGAAATGGGCATACTATAGTTTCGATTCTATAAACAAGAACCTTCATAAGAGTCTAATAAACAAATGACACTTGAAAATTATGTTAAATGCTGTTTAGATACTAAGATACTATATAACTCTCGAAACTGGATAGGTCATTTTACTTTTGTGCTTTCTTCTCGTTGTTTTCGCTTTAATTCACATTAAATTTTCTTTAAAATTATATTTCAATAAAATGCTTCTAAGTCTGGAAAAAGGAGGTTTTAATCAAGTTATTTCACGTACATAAAATGAAGTTAACACATTCAAAGATGGCTTTCTACAAAGAAAAAGGAATAAATCCTCTAAAAATTAAATAGAATAATTTCATAGAAAAAACTTCACAGCATTTGCTTGTTTCTGAAAATTCTTTGAGGAATTTATTTTCATGCTAGGAAATATTTACTATAATTTAAATGGGATTTAATAGAAGTTAAAAGTATAAGAAGCTTAAATAAAAAAAAACACTTAAATATCTTTTATTTTTAGTTTAAAATACTTCCCGAAAAAAAAGCAAAATATTTAATGACATAGTTTATGTACTTGTTTTGAAGTAAAATGCTTTTAGCTTTATTTGTGGAATTAAAAAACTTTTATAAATAATCAAGTTAAAGTCATTTTTATTTCATGTTCAGACTTTCCTTAATTTTGCTAAAAAAAGTTTAAATGGAATAGAATTGCTAATCTTTTTGTTTTAAAAAAGATATTAGCATTATTTAAAATTTGCTTTTGATTTAATGTAGAATTGTATTTCTGTTTATAAATGTCGAGGATGTAAATTATTACAAATGTCCTATTTTCATAGATCTCATAAAATTCCCAACTATGAAAACATTAGTTTTCTAAAAATATTTTACGGACGTCAGGTAAAATATTTCATTTTTTGGAAAAAAATTTAACTCATTCAATTTGAAATCAATCCTCCAATAGCGAATTTATGTTGGAGAGAGGTGGTGTCTAGGGATTGCTCTAGGATAAGAATATAGGTTGAATGCTAAAGCTGTGTAATTAGGCATTATAACAAGGTTATTTCAAAAGCAAGTTCCCCTAGGTAATGTCTAAGGGCTGTTGAAGCATAAGACAATTATTGTTAAAGCTGTTTAATTAGGCATTATAGCATGGTTGTTGTAAAAGCAGGTTCTCCTAAGTGGGATCGAGGTAATGTCTAAGGTTTGTTGAAGGATAAGACAATTAATGAAGCTGTTTAATTAGGTATTATAGCAAAGTTGTTACAAAGGCAGATTTCTCTATTTTGAGTGAAATGATGTGTAAGGGTTGTTGAAGGATAAGACATTTAATGTTAAAACTGTTTGATTAGATATTATAGCAAAGTTGTTACAAAGGCAGTTTCCCCTATGTTGGAGCAATGTGATGTTTAAGAGTTGTAGAAGCATAAGGCAATTAATGTTAAAGCTGTTTAATTAGGCATTAAAGCAAGGTTTTTACAAAGAAAGGTTGTTTAACCAGACTTGGTGCTTCTCCAGCGAATCTCTGGGAAGATGAGGGATTTGACAGCTGTCACCAAGACTTGGCGCTTCTGCGTTGTTGTGCTACACCATGTGTTGTATATAACATTCATACTGCTTATTTAGATGTGACCTGCCTTTTTTTAAAAAAATCTTTGAGTTTTATACTACAACACTTGCTAACTACTTATTAGCCGTGAGGTGGTTTTGACTTGTAAAGTTTGAAAACTTCGCGGACTGTAGCACTCATTTGCAATACATTTCTTTCGCAGCCTTAATATGGACTATTTTGAAGCTGTTTATCACAACTCTCTAACTACAGAAAAGCAGTAGTGAATCTTATTCTAGTGTACCTTATTCGAAATAGCCTCTTGAACTAGTGATTCAAAACAACCTACCAACTATGACTTAAAACGAGACTAGAATTGGTCATACGTGTCAACAGGCACTCGTCCAGTCTCAACTTTTTCATTGGATGAATCACATTTACTTTGGCGGCCAGCCCCTATCCATTCTATAATTCGAACTCTTGTCCATTGTCATTATATGGTAGCATTTTAACTGTTGCCTGGCCAACATATTTGCAGAAAACAACTGGACGGGAGATGCAGAAAAAATCTGGGAGAAGGAAACCATCTTTTTAAAACTTTTTAAGAATGATGTTAAAAATAGTGCCAAATTTTACTTAAAGGATAATTTTTGCTGCTATATTTCCAGGTTATTGGTTCCTCAGTGTAGATCAACGAGGTAAATCTTTATGGCCTATTTCCTGGAGCACGGAATGCATTGCTAAAAACTGCAGAAATAAAATTATCACACAGTCTTCTCGTGGATTTAATTCCAAATGCCGATGTGAAATGAAGATTAAGTTCAACCTATCAAAAGTTTTTAACATGTTTATCAAAAGTTTTCCACAAACACATCTATTTTGAAGTTTGAACAAGAATATCACTTTTGAGATCTTTATTCTAGATACAGCTCAAAATTCGTAATTAAAAGAATCGACAGCTCAAAATGCTTAGAGAAGAAAATTGATACAACTCAAAATGCCAAAAAAAGTGGACACAGCTATTTTAAGAAAGTAGAAATAGAGCATATTTGATGACGTTTTTGAAAATTTTCATGTGAAACTGTTTTTTTTAAAAAATGAACTATCGGATCCAAATAAATTCGCTGTGTGGTGTTGTACGTTGGGTAAATCACTTAGAATACGTATTTTTTTAAATTAGTCCCTTCTGAAAAAATATTAATAGTCAGAAGTTTTCTTTTCACAAAGTTTTCGCTGGTCTTAGCTTATAATATTCTTATTAAATTGACGTTTTTCTAATTTAGAATTTTTGAAACCACATGATTGGTTAGTATTCTGAATACGAAAAGATGACTGAAAGTTCACTTCTGTAATATACCTATCCACGCCGAATTCGAAGTTCGAGACTTTGATCCGTAATAATTATGGTTAGCTTTTAAAAAGTAACGAAATATGATTATGAAATTCTTCGTTTAGCTCTTTAAATAGCCCTAAAGTTTTAAACAAACATTTCTTTTTTAGATGTGTCCATTTTCTGAAACACGCCTATTAAGCTGGGACCATTTTTTTAAAAAAGCATTTCCAGCTGTGTCCATTTCTAACACACGCATTCTGAGCCGTGTCCAATTTCTTAAACAAGATTTTCAGCTGTGTCCATTTTCTTAAACACATATAGACTGTGTTCAAATTAAAAGGAAAATGCTCTCATATCTGTTTTTGGCGAGATTTGAAATAAAATTATAAGGTAGAGGAGATTATTACTTAAATCTCACTCTGCACTGAGAAAAAAAATTATGATCAAAACTATCAGAATATGGTAACATTTACAGTTTTACTGGCTCAGTGGAAACATTAAAAAGCATGGTAATTTTAACCAAAGTACTTCGGTAATAATTTTGGTAAAATCAACAATTTTTTTTTTTAATATGGGTTAAAATTTGGTAAATAAAGTAATTTTATCATACCTTAGAGCATGACATAAAAACCATTTTTTCAGTTAAATTTATTTTTCTTAGTAGTCTTACTACACTGTTAGAATTTTCCTTCTAAAATTATGGTAAAATAACCTGCAGCAAACTTTATCCAATTAACCATAATATTAACGCTAAAGAACATTTTTTATCTTTACTGATTTGATTACGTTTACTACTAATATGATTAAAAAAACTGAAATACGGCTTTAGGCAAGGCCATAACACTATGGACCAGGTTCTCTTCCTCAGCCAGAGCATCAGGGATGCACAGAACAAGAGTCCCACACACCAGCAACAATATTTTTTTTTAATATGGGTTAAAATTTGGTAAATAAAGTTAGGTTTCTGGATCTAACTAAGGCCTTCGAAAGGGTCTGGATTAATAAACTGCTTATCAAATTATTCCATCTCTTTTGGAATCCGGGGAAATGTACTATCTTGGATATCTGACTTTTTACGAAACAGACATATTAGAGTCAAAGTTGGCAACTCTATTTCCCGTTGTTTTATACTTTCCCAGGGGGTCCCTCAGGGATCCGTTTTAAGTCCTACTCTTTTTAACTTGTTTTTAGCTGGAGTTGAGAATAGGATCTTTCTAACCTGCAATATTTCCATCTTTGCCGGTGACATTGCGCTGTGGTCTTCTGTCCGGGATATTGATTCTTTGGAACTGCATTTAAATCAATCATTGCATTCTATAAGTGATTTTGCGGCCGACCACAAACTTGTTTTCAATGCCTTAAAATCGGTGACTTCATTTTTTACCACAAATAGACGCTTATACA